CTCCTGTGCAGCAGGAGCCTCCTTATGGAAGCTGCCTGGGTAATTTTAGACCAGCCACAGACTTTCTGCCTAACCTACCTTGCAGGGTTGCTGTGCAGATCACAAAGTGGAAGAGGAGAATGAAGTAAGCTGCTTTGCTCCCCACTAACGAGAAAGACAGAACTTTGCCTAGGAAGAGGCTGCTGAGAGGGGAGGAGATAAAGTTGCCAACTTTAGGTATGGAAATTCCTGGAGATTTGAAGGTTGGAGTCTGGACAGGGTGAGGTTTGAGAGGGGGTGGAACTTCAGACAGGTACAATGCCATAGACTCCACCCTCCAAACCAGCAATTTCCGCATGGGGAACCATTGTTGCCAATCTCCAGAGTAGTTAGGAAAGAAGTAAACAACCATGATGTATTATGCCAAAAAAGTCTCCAAAGACCAGAAATTTCTTATTCCAATATTTCAAACGCCATCAACACAACGGATCATGCATATTATCTCGTTTCGTGTATAACCATTAGTGTTTTGATGAGTGTCACTATGAGATACTACTAAAGAGTTTATCAAATGGATTAATATTGTATTTCAGCGCTACTCACCTTGAAAAAGTTATACACGAAACGAGATAATATGCATGATCCGTTGTGTTGATGGCATTTGAATTTCTTCCAGTAAACTGAAATATTGGAAAAAGAAATTTCTGGTCTTTGGAGACTTCTTTGGCATAATACATCACGGTTGTTTACTTCTTTCCTAACTTCCATCCCGTGATCTCTCTCTTTGTTTTGTAATCTCCAGGGGAGGGCTGGAGTTCACTTAGAAATACAACTGCTATCCAGGAGGGAGGGGGGAGGAGATGGAAAGCTGAAGTCAGAAGGGGAGAAAAAGGTAGGTTGATGGTTGGCTGGGAAGGAGATAGGGTTGCCAACTCCAGGCTGGGAAATTCCTGGAGATTTGAGGGGTGGAGGATGGGGTTTGAGGAGGGGTGGACCTCAGAGGCGTACAATGCCATAGACTCCACTTTCCAAACCAGCCATTTCCTCCTGGGGAATGACTGTTGCCAATCTCCAGGGGAGGGCTGGAGATCACTCAGAATTAGAACTGCTCTTCAGATGGCAGAGATCAGTTCCCCTGAAGAAAACGGTAAGCTGTGTGTCATTATACCCTGCTGAGGTCACCACAGCAAATTGACACTGAGTGCCAAAGACCAGGGCACCCACCCAGAGCCTCTTTCTAGAGCTCGTTGTATGTATTT